GACCAAGGCAACAATGAGATTCTTCCTCAAGCACCACCTATACAACAAACTCAACAACCTCAAGAAGTGCCATTAAGGAGATCCACTAGGGAGAGAAGACATGCGATTCCAGATGATTATATCATCTTTCTTCAAGAACATGAGGATGGAGTTGGTTTAACGGAAGATGACCCGATCAACTTCCATCAAGCCATGCACAGTTCTAACTCTCAGAAGTGGATTGATGCCATGAAAGATGAGATAAAGTCTATGAAAGACAATGACGTTTGGGATCTCGTCGAGTTGCCTAAAGGTGTGAAGCCCATTGGTTGTAGGTGGATATTTAAAACCAAGAGAGATTCAAGAGGCAATGTCGAGAGATATAAAGCTCGTCTAGTCGCTAAAGGCTTTACTCAAAAAGGAAGGCATAGACTACAAAAAGACTTTCTCCCCGATATCTTTGAAAGACTCTTTTAGAACAATAATGACACTAGTGGCTCATTTTGATATAGAGCTACATCAGATAGATGTCAAGACTGCGTTTCTCAATTGAGACATTGATGAGACAATTTACATGGTACAACCAGAAAACTTTGTATCAAGAGATCCAAAGTCTATGGTTTGTAAGTTAAAGAAATCCATCTACGGTCTCAAACAAGCTTCCCGTCAATGGTATCACAAGTTCCATCAAATCATTACCTCGTACCGTTTTGAGGCAAATGTTGTTGATGACTGTGTATATCATAAGTTTAGTGGGTGTAAATATATCTTCTTGGTATTATATGTTGATGATATTCTACTTGCTAGCAGCGATATAGGCTTACTACATGAAACCAAGAAATTTCTGACGAAGAAATTCGAGATGAAAGATCTTGGGGATGCCTATTTTGTATTGGGTATTCAAATACTGAGAAGATCATTCTCGAGGTATCCTTGGACTGTCACAAAAGAGCTATATCAATAAGGTTTTGAGTAGATTCGACATGAAAGATAGTAGACCAGGAGACACCCCCATCTCTAAAGGAGACAAGTTTAGTCTAAAACACTGCCTCAATAATGATCTTGAAAGAGAAGAGATGCAGAAGATTCCCTATGCATCAGTGGTAGGGAGTCTAATGTAGGCTCTAATTTGTACTCGTCTCGACATAGCATATATAGTGGGAGTTTTGGGTAGATACTTGAGTGATCCTTGCATGCAACATTGGAAAGTAGCCAAACGCATGATGCGTTATTTGAGGAGAACAAAAGACTACATGCTCATTTATCGGAGATCAGACTGTTTAGAGATCATCGGGTTCTCTGAATCTGATTTTGCGAGATGCCAAGATAGTAGACAGTTCACATCAGGCTATGTCTTTATGTTGGCTGGAGGAGCTATCTCATGGAAGTCTGCTAAACAGAATCTCATAGCTTCTTCAACCATGGTTGCGGAGTTCATTGCTTGTTATGAGGCATCCAATCATAGAATATGGCTACGAAACTTTGTCACTGGACTACGGGTGGTAGATGACATTGACAAGCCATTAAAGATTTATTGTGACAATAACTTAGTGATGCTTTACTCCAACAACAATAGGAGTTCGACAAAGTCGAAATTTATTGATATCAAGTTTCTAGTTGTTAAGGAAAGAGTTCAAGACAAACAGATTTACATGGAACATATAGAAACAAGATCCATGCTAGCAGACTTCCTAACTAAGGGCTTACCGCCTAAGGTCTTTCATGAGCACACAGCTCACATGGGCGTTATTTTCGAGGATATTCTGGTCTAGTGGGAGTCAATTTTATGTACTATATGTTTTCTTTAGACATTGAATTGTTTAACCTTCTGCAGAATAAAGTTGATGGTCTATGATTCTATTTCTGAGTTTACTTGTATTTTCATTGTGCAATGTTCCCATTGCATTAAGGACTTTGGAATGATCTCACTAAAGACTAAAGAAGGACCAGTTGGAAATAGGTATGTTTGAGATCACATTTCATGTAAATTTCCATGCTACTCATCCATATTTGATCTATGTCATTAAGTGTATTAATATGGTGATCATCGTGGTTTAATCACGACTATATTGTGATGGAAGTTGCGGTGGTTCCATTATTAATATATGAGATGGACAAGATTGTTTAAGGAGCAGTCTAAGGATAAATAGAATACAGATGTGCGCCTAAGGAATTTGTAATATAATTGTTTAAGTAATAATATGTAGCCAAGTGGGAGATTGTTAGGAAAACCGTGATGGACAAGATTGTTTAAGGAGCAGTCTAAGGATAAATAGCATATAGATGCCCGCCTAAGGAATTTGAATATAATTGTTTAAGGAATAATATGTAGCCAAGTGGAAGATTGTTAGGAAAACACGATTTTCCTAACTTAATATGGCAACATATTAATACAATTATATTAGCTATTTAATATAATGGGCAAAAATCAAGTTGTCTATTTTGGTATGCCCATAGACTTCTCAAATTAATGTGGGCTAATTGAGTGGATAACGGCCAATATTGCTCTAATTGAGGGATAATGAGAACCTTAATTGAGCAGTATATAAAGTTTATTTCGGTTATGGTCCCCAATATACCAAATCACATACTTTTTCCGCTCTCCCCATCAAGAAGAGAAATCACAATCCTATTGAGGAATAAGGTGATTTGGTTGAGAAAGATCACAAAACCACCCTCTTCATTTGGATTCATAAATACGTGGTCGATTGTCGCAGTAATTCCGCAACAATAGACAATTGTTCATAATGGATATAGGTATATAATCTGAATTTATAAATCCTATTAATTTGACATGATATTGATCCTAGGATTTAAGTTATTTTGATCTAGGATATTTGGACCTAATTTGAATTTTCTAACAAAGAGTGCCATCAGAATTGGGAGACAACTTTATGCCCTTATACTTCCTTGGCATTCTTCATTTCTTTTCTCTTACTCAATCTTTGTTATATGATGGCTCGATGTAAATTGGTATTGTATGGTTTGCATTTCCTCAAATAAAAATTCTGCACCTTCAGCCCATTCACGCTTAACAATGAGGAAAGTTATTGACATTTCTGACGATTATTGTTGGATCACATTTTGTTAGAAGATGTTATATATCTCATTGTGGCTATCTATTGTTAAAAAATGCATCTCTTCCTGATAACAAATTTTCACAATCTGTAAAAACGTTTGTCAATATAGTACTTTCTTTGATTCATTAAATTGTTAGCTATGCCTATCCAATTGTGAATAAAATTTTACGTAAGTGTCTATTTTCCTTTTTGAACATTTTTAAACTACATTTGTAACTTAAACAACCTCGTTTTATAGTTTCTCAAACAGCTTATTTTTTTAGATGATATAGCTCTATATAGTATTACACAGCACATGAAATAGTTTTGATATCAAATCTCGCATAGACTTTGATGAAAAAATCTTAATATGGGTGGCAGTGGCATGTGTATTGTGTGTAACAGCTTAAATTCTTAGATAAGATAATTCAATAGCACCTGGAGGTGAGTATTGCTAGGAACATGATCACTGATGTCACAGAGAAACAGAGTGCTACAAGGGATCCTACGGAGAATATGTTAAATGCTGGCTCGTTTGCGAAGGTGGGTTTGTCGCTTTCTTCCTTAAAGCCCCCTGGAAAGGTGGAGGAAGTGGCAAAAGCGACAGTGGCTATGAGGGCTGCCACGACGGAGCATGACGTGGAGGTGTTGATGAGCCATTTGCTGCCATTCTTGACGAGTTCCTTGTGACTTTCAGTGAATATGTCCCTTGCGGTCTTGCTCTCCTTGTTGTGACGTACAAAGAAGTGCAATGGCATGGAATCCTTGACGAACTGAGTTACAAACAAAACAAATAGTTATTTTGTGTCCCAAGAAAGTAGTAAATATATAATTGATCACCATATATTAGTGTGAGTTTCACTGCCACGTGAGCATTACTCATCAAAAATTCATACCTCGTACCACTTTATTTCCCATTGCATCTGCAATGCAGCGCCAGGTATAAGCCAAGGCCGATTATCTCCCAGCTTTGCAGCAAGATGTAAAGCACTATTCCCATCTTTGTCTACCTTCCGAAAAACGGATTCTTTCATTATCGTCTTCTTGAGTAAAAACTTGTAAACACGAGGCTGCCTATTTTCCACCGCCAACAATACTACGTTCTTCTTGCTTGTGTTCATGTCATGAATAGCCACCGGGAAAAGTGTAATAATCTTTTCCACCATGTCGGCCACACCGTTCTTTGCAGCAATAAGTAGTGGTGTCTCCCCATTTTCGATTTCCTGACTCTTTTTTTTGTTACCTACATGCCCCAAAATAGGTTTGAATGAAAATAATGAATTTGTCCATGACTTAGTTAGACGATAAAAATAATGCACCGACAGAATTTTTATGCCACTTCAGTAGATAGAGGTAGACATAATGCCTAAATTGAAACAAATAGGAATTTCAGTTAGTAATATGGAACAAAAGGTTCAATTATTAAATGAAAAATCGGAGAAGGATGACTAACCCTTTTTTAGCCACAAAATGTAAATAAATAATATTTTAGAAGAAGTTGTTCGTAGAAAGAAAAAGCAACAGTTGGTTACCATTTCCATTGGTGCCATTTTTCCTTTCCACTCTATCGCTAGTTTTGGGTGTTTGATCATCATCCGGCTTGGACAAATGGTCAACACTAGGAATATCAGACGGGAATCCTGCACCAAGAACTGAGAAAGGACTTTCTTCATCGTGTTTATGCGACATAAAACGTTGGGGACTCTCTCCACTATTTTCATACTCATAGGGAGAAGCTTGTTCAAGAAGCTCATTCATGATTTGGACTGACCAAATGTGCTTTTCTTTTTTTTCGCGTAGCTTTACAATGTCACGAGACCCTGTTCACGCAATGAGGAAAAATATACGCATTAAGTCCTCGACAATTGAGAACTTAGTATTGATTACTGGTTAATTAGGAGGTTACCAAAGCCAAGAATAACCAATATTGATTTGGATATGAGTTTAATGGCATTAAAGCATGTGACATAATTAGGAGGAAGGTGTGAACGCCCATGATTAGTATCAGGTTGCTGTCTTTGTATATCAGATTGCTTATCCTTGGGATTTTCTGCATCTCTTGTCCCCTTGATCTCATTTTCACAACTTCCTGCATCTTTTTTCTCCTTGTTCTCATTTTTATCACATCCCGCTGTTAAAAAAAAGGGTCAGAACATAATGACTTAATGCATACGAGGAAAAGAAAAATTGTGTACTCTCGAACGAATATATGGTTCAATACCCCGCGCATAAACTACGTGTTACATAATATAAAGTAAAAGAATTTTGTACTTACTCAGTACTCGAAATATTTTGCTCACTAAATGAACAAATCCAAAGCAGGTGTGATAGTTTTCTGGACAACTTGCTTTGGTATCAAATTGCGAGCCTTGTTGCAAAGCGTGAACCGTGACAGTGTCCTCAGGTTCATCAACAAATATACCTTTCAAAATAATTATATAGCTTTGAGTTATTTGCAGGGCAAAATTCCGATGTTTGTGATCCTTTCACGAGGAAAAGGGAGACTTACAGTAGTAAATAAGTTTGTGAAACCCTCTTATATAACTTCCACTTCTGAATGCAGAAGGCTTACATGCCAGAAGATGAAGTGGTGTTACTCCATCCACGGTGACCGCGTTCATTAGTTTCGGGTATAACCGAATTATATGAATTGCTAAATCTGTCCATAAAACAAAGAAAACAAGATGAACTTCAAATCAACTAAATGCGCACATAGATTTATTGGAAACAAGGCCTTAGCTTATGAGAACTTGACTCACCAAAATATTCTCCTGAAATGGCTGAATGCAGAATTGTCTCTCCATCATGTTTCTTCTTGCAGTACGAATAGCGTTCGTCTGGCTTACAAATGTAATGTAAGCAAAGAAAAGCATCCCTCTTGCCATTTAAAACAGCCTGGAAGAAAGGAGTCTCTTCATCCTTATTACGTTTCCCAATTAGTGTCGAGTCGACATCAGCAATGAGTCTGCACATCTCTACATTCCCAAGGGACGCGGCCAAATGAAGAGGCGTATTTTCCTGTTCATTGCCAATTGTTAAAACCTCACCCACATTTTCTTGTTTTCGCAAAATCTGCATCAGTCGTTCGACAATGGTAACTTGGCCTTCTGATATGGCTATATGTAACGCAGTGTCTTTTGATCTGGTGATCTTGGCTTTGTGAGCCTCTGGATGTTCTGCATATATTTTGATCACTTCAACCCATTTGCCATTCATGGCATTTCTGAACAAATTATTCTTGATTTCCTCCAGCGCAAAAATAGAGGAGACACTTTGCCTAAGAGGTTCCATTTCTCTTTTCCCCCCCTCTGTCTCTGTCTCTCTCTCTCTCTCTCTCTCTCTCTCTCTCTCTCTCTCTCTCTAAAAAAATAAAGATCATTTGAATTCTTTGAGTGTAAAGAAATTCAGTAAAAGGAAATAAAGATCATTTGGCTTCTTTGAGTGCAGCTAAACTCCTAAAAAGATAAGGAATAATGCAGCACTTTAGTTTTTTTATTGAAGAGCTTTTTACTTTTTCTCCTACCACGTTCAACACACCAACCGCACTCTACAAGCTAACATAATAGGAGTGGAAATTAAAAATAAAAATAAAAAAATCGGGAACCACGGGCCCGTTTGGTAGTGATTTTGAGAATTGATTTTTGATTGTTAGAAGAAAATAGGGGCCACATGTGAGTGAAGAAGTCAAAAAATACGTTTAGAATAGTAAAATAACGGTTAAAAAATCAATTTTTTGAGGTGAAAAAGCACTACCAACTTTATTCTTCAAATACTTCAGGCTTTTTCAAAAATCTTGGAACAGGCCATCCATAGAAACATGACTAAGGACATCTACAAGTCTTTAATGCTTAATTTTGTTAAACCGCGTAAGCTTATCTTGCAGAGACTCATCCCTTCCCAATATGACACACATCAATTTAGTCGTCGTTTTCTTCTTTCACACGATACTGGAGAAGGAGCTACAAATTTATTCACAAAGTCTGTGTAAGATGCAATTGAGCTTGGAGGAAGCGTGTTCTACCATCAGTGCACATCCTTCCTTAGTGTTGGAGGGAATGCACGACACGTGGACGCATCCTGTGCATCCTCACTAGGTCTTAGAATCTGTTGTAAGGACATCAAATTTCTTGATTTCGAAATTTCTAAACTTAGGTGACATTGACGATAGAAATGATATATCCAAACTTAATATTTCATGCTTTCACATCATGTGTTGTAGGGCGTTAATGTTGTATTATTTGCACTTAACGTGTTTGCATCGTCATCACTATAGTTAATGACTTTTAGTTGCAATCAAATAATTAGAAGAGTCTTGTCACGTGACCAAATGGATGAAATTTAGTAGTGTCCTTACAGCAATTTTAATAGATTTTAAAGTCTTTGTAAATTTAGGAATTTTTAATTGAGATTTATAAGAAATTCAAGAGATTTGAATGGATTTTCAGTGTGAAATTCACCATTTTTAATATGATTCTTATGAATTTTGAGGAAATCATTCAAATTCTTGAAATTAAAATTTATAGTCTTTTAAAATTAGTTAAAATCTCAATTTTGGACATTCCTTAAATGGGGATACATGTTTCTATTATGAAAAGCACTGCAAATTTCGCATCCCGTATTTTGAAAACCACTATCACTATGATCTTCTCATTTTTACTTTCTTTCAAGAAAACTAGTTGCTACACATCTTATTTAGTTATTTATTTAGCCCTTATTTGATTCCCTCATTTCCAAAACACATTTCTCTCTCTCTCTTCATTTTTACCAGACATTTTTCTATGAAATAATATTAAACGTAAATCCAAATTTTTTCCTTATTTTTTAACCATGTATTCTCCAACAATATGATATTTTAAAATGTATTCTTGATTAAAAAAAAATGGGGCTAAAACAGGCGCCTAATTGTGTTTTGCAAGGAGAATTGGAGCCGATGATTCCTAAAATATGGATAGCTACGCAAATGATCCCTAGCCTTCAAATCTTAGTTCAAACATTTATTACCTTTCACTTAATGGGAACAATTAGTCCTTTTGGATGGTTTTTATCTTATAGAAGGTTTAAACTTCCCCGTGCTTTAGTTCAATAAATAAAATTAAAAAAAAAAACCTTAAAATTATAAGACGAACAAAAGTCAACTTATGCTATCAACTAATTCCCATAAGAAGATTTCTAACGCAAACATGAATTGCTTTAAAGTTTATAACAAATAAGAATATAAAAAAAGTGCTGAAAAAATTTCATCTCCTATGTAAGTTGATATAGATTTCCTCAAGATAATATGGCAGAGAAAAATAAATATCATTCTAGAGTTCTGTCTAAATTTAGAAACTTCATTACATCTGCTAACTCGGTAAAATTTATATTTCATATACAGATTAAAATGTTTTTTTTGTTATTATTTAAGAAAATAAAAGACACTTAAATAGCAATTCATAGAATCCATTGAAAACTGATTTTGAATTTGATTGTTTACTTATCTCTACCATATCATCTTAATAAAGTCCTTATTTGTATGCATTAGAGAGGGAATTTTATAAATGACTTTTATTTTACTTATATGTCGCAATTTATTAAAGCAATTCACGGTAGGATGAGTTATTTTTCATATTTTTCTTAAATTTTTCTTGTGCACTTATTTTATTATTTATTTTAAAAAAATTAAGGAAATTTTAGTCATTTCATCAAAAGATTGACTTTTCAATTATCAATTGGAAGTCAAAAACATTAACAAAACATCCAATCGAGTGGTTAATGTTGAAAATAAATAGTAGTTTATTTATTTCGTCTTGACAAATTAAAGTTTATGACTTAATTGCAATTTCACCAAAAATTCAGAGATCAGCGTCAAACTAACCTCATTCCATCTTTTACTTCAAAATAAATAATTTAATTTTTCTAACAGCCACCAACAAAAAAGATTATTCTAAATAATGTAGAACGTGGCTAGATGACAAGGTGAGGTTTTACGCTTTGTCCTGACAAACTTTTTAGAATACTGAAAACATAATGCAATTACCCGTTTGATCCCCATTAAATTCAATTACATTACATTTCATTTTTCTCTCTTCTATTTTCAACCACACAATCTTCCATAAAATAATATTACACATAAATCGAAAACTTTTCCTTTTTTTTCAACCACTCATTTTTCTAAAAATTACTATTTCCCCCATTTTCATTTTCAGGTAATGGGGGTCAAACGGGGGCTTATATTAATAATTACTTATTTATTTATGGATGGTCATATTGTCACCACAATTTTTATTTATTGCACTATATTTTTGTTGTAGTTAAGCTCCTCTAATTTTGCTTCTCGTAGGTTTGTAGCAATGATTTCTTTAATTTTTTTTGTCAAATTCTTATCTTTCATATTTCATTTTTTAAAATATTTGTTTTCATGCTTTGAAGTTTGAAATGAGGAAAAATTATTTTTTCGTGCTTTTTATTTATTTTTTTAAAGTCTGATGGAAAAATAAGTTGTACACTATTTCAACGAATTTTTGAATATAAATTGTTATTAAATACAAAATATATTAACTAATAAGAAGTTGGAGTACATGAATGCCCTAACAAATCTTTAGAGACATAAATATTATAATGAGTAAAGATTGAGAACCTTAATATAATTAAAATGTGGTCTAAGAAATAAAAATTGTCAAAACACCCTTTGGCCCCTTTTTTCAAAATTTTAATATTTGAAATAGTGTTTTTTTTTTTTTAAATGTATGGTTGAAATAAAAATGAAAAATTTTCGATTTACGTGTAATATTATTTTATTGAAGATTGTGTGATTGAAAATAAGAGATAAAAAAAATTGGAGGCAAACGGGGCCCATTCACTCATGTAAACAACTCATCTCTCATCTTTCTTATTTGTTCATTGAATTTCGTCATCTCTCCTCTTTCTTATTCAATTCCCATTCACTCATGCAAACAACTCAATCTCTGTCGTTTAACACGGCAGCCTCAATGTCTTGGAAAATTCTTGTAATTGGTAGTTATGACTCCAAGAATTTCAACTTTGAGTATGGATTAACATTTTTTAAGAAATTTAATAGATTAATCAAATGGCAAATTGCCAGAAAACGCTGCCGTGAGTCTTGTTAGTGGCTGTAATAATATATGAATTAACACGTTTTTGGTGGCTCCACCCATCGCCGTCGCTTTTAAAGTTTCGGTAGGTGAAGGCGACCCTAAACTTATTGCCCGTTGACTCTTCCCTTCTGTATACACATGCATATATAAATCCATATACCAAATCCACTTCCTTTGTAATATCTAAACTGGGAAATCAAGAACCGCTGGCAGTCCTTCTTGAATTGATAAAATGTCGAACCAAACATCCCAGAAAGATGACTTGGATGCCGGAACCAGCCTGTTGTACCCATTAATGCAGGAAAGCCCGAAGCTCCGGTGGGCTTTTATTAGAAAAGTTTATTCAATAATTATTGTTCAATTGCTTGTCACCATTGCTGTTGCTTCTGTCGTGGTAACTGTTCATCCCATTGCTGCCTTCTTTTCCACCACCCGGATTGGCCTGGCAATAAACATTGTCATCATTTTAATTCCTCTTATTGGTATGTTATCAAAAATATGAAAAGTTAATCTTGTTTGGGATTTATAGATGGTTTTGTATATGATATAAAATTTCTTGCTTGGATTGCAGTTTTGTGCCCCCTATACTTTTATCAGCGGAAGCATCCAGTCAACTTCTTTCTGCTCGGGATCTTCACGGTGGCTTTTGGTTTTGCATTGGGCGTCGTTTGTGCTTACTACAGTGGTAAAGACTAGAATTCACTAAATTTATTAGAATTTATAATCTTTTAAAATGCATTAAAATCCAAGTTGAAGACACCCTAGAAATTTTTATTATTGATTTACGTGAGAATCGCATAAAGTAGCCTTTAAAAAACCTTTGTTTGGAGTATTATGTCAATTTCAAGTTGAGGCATAATTATACAATGTGACTAGGCTTAACACGTTCTATTTTGATGCTATCTTTCGTTCATAATGAAAAGGATGTAGTAGATTGTTTGTTCTTGTGGAATTTGCTGACAATTTGCTGGCAGAAACATATCTATTTGTGATTTAAACCATTTATTAATACTTCTTAAACATGCTAGAGGCTCCTTAATTTGCATGAAATTACTTTACAGTTGGACTTTGTAAGATCATTTTTGGGTAGTGTTTTAGACCATCTCTGTCTTCAATAAATTTTCAGCTTATCTCAAAACAAAAGTAACTTCTGAAAAAGCTGAAACATGCTCATACTCGACTCACTTTTTGGATTGAATTGGAAACAGGGAAAGTTATTCTAGAGACAATTATCCTAACGGCAGTGCTGGTTATTAGTCTCACTATATACACATTCTGGGCAGCAAAGAGAGGTGAAGATTTCAAATTTCTACCGGCATTCATATTTGGATCTCTTATTGTGCTGCTGCTGTTTATTCTGATTCAGGTAGAAAGACTTATTCTTCGCGTTAAGTGACCATGGGGGCTTACTCCCAAACATATAACAACTTATTATTACAATACTCGTAGTTAATTTGAGTCTTTTTTTTCCTGCAGATCTTCTTCCCTCTTGGTAGCCTCTCCGTGACGATATATGGAGTTCTCATTTCGATAGTATTCTGTGCGTACATTATTTACGACACCAATAATCTGATCAAGCGATTCTCTTTTGATGAGTACATTTGGGCTTCTATTTCCCTGTATCTTGATGTCCTCAACCTCTTTCTGTATCTGTTGGATGTTATTAAAGCTAGAAATTAGGTGGTGTTTTTGTCAATTTTGCTATTCCACTTCAATCCGAATGTACAATTTGAATCTTTTCTATTAACTGAAGCAATAAGATTGCTCATTTGTTAATTATTGCTGTCATATTGTAATTGTGGAATTTCATCGATTCAAAGTTACGACTTTGACAATAGGTGTCGTTCAAAATCTTGTTGGAATGGCTAATTATATTATACACTTATCTTCTTGATCATAGATTATGATCGAGATTAGTCATTTCTTCTTTATAGAGAAAATCTATGGTCATTCTGAGGATGAACCAGTGTAAATTAGCTTCTATCTGGTATTGTTTCGAAAATTAATTCATGTAATAGATCGTACATTATATTCAATCTCATTCGATCTTATTCCCGTGGAATAATCAAAGAAATGAGATCACACACATGGAATTTCTTAGCAATCTACGTTGATACCTAGCATTACACGAAACGAGAGCAAAAGCAAATCAGTATCTGAATCTGAACCAAATACTACATGAAATCGTGTAATTTGATATCTGGCATTGTAGTACAGGTTTTTGTGAGGTAGAACCCGATGCATTTTGCTATTTCTGATGCTTTCTTTTTCTTTCAGCAACAATAGAAAGAAGCCTCAAAACGCCTTGTGTCCACATCTCGTATTCTCTTTGATTCTTGCATTCAAACTCAACAATGCCACGCATTTGTGTCTTCAGTCCAAAATACCGTCTCTGCTCTCCATCCTCGAACAAGTGCCTCCCAGGCCATGCCGGTAAGTCTTTACAAACCTCCAACACCACATCTGCAATGCCAATTACATACATTTATAACTTCAATATGTTGGATTGGTGGAGCTATTATACAGTTTACTTCAGTATTGGGCACTCATCTTTTTGTATTATGTTGCTTTAGATTCCTGTGCTATATAAAATTTTTGTGCTTTCGTATGTGCATTTTTGCTTCGTTTATTATTATTTCACTCGGTGGGAACTATCAGCTATATATTCACAATGTAAAGAAGTTGTGAATGCCAGTACTTACTCTTCTTTTTCTTAGTTATCGTAGTTGCTGCGTATTTGCTTTTCATCTTCAGCATCACCTGCAAAACACATATTCATGGGATTTGTCCAGATAACCAAAATTGGATTTGAATGTTTGCGAGTATAAATAAAACTGGTAGAAACTTACATTTCCAGTTCGATGAATATATATGGATACAACTTTCCAGTGTAGATCGCCTGCAGCATTACAGTGGTATCAATATCTGTTCAACTGAGAATTTCTTTTCAATCCTCGGTAGAATTCCAGAATATGAGATTACCTGTTCGCGTTCTTTTGAGAAGTTCGCTACCACGAGCAAGTAGTTCTTCATTGCAAGCAGCCAGAAAATTCTCTTCAGGAACTAATTCCTCAGAATTGTTACTGCTGCTATCATGTGTCTTGCCCAAGGAAAGTCCTCTGTCTACAGGAATAACTGCTGCAACATTCCACACTTCCTTCAGGGCTCTTGCCTTCAAGGTAGCTACTCCACGCAGCGCTGCAAAATCAAGATGCAGGTTAATTTTCATTGCATATACGTGCTAGATGATTCACTGAAATTGGATTGTTCCTCACCTGAGGCTGCAGCAGCAGTAAGTGTTGATATATCGCCGTGCTTACGGACATTGACAGCAGAGCTAATGGCCGACATGAGGTTTTTGTAATCGGCTCCCATAGCTTCTGCAGCCTCCACGCATTGCGCAGCCAACAAACTAGCGGCTGAAGCCACAGCCATATCGGTTTTGGCCATCTGCTTATCCTTACCTTTGGAAGATGCATTTGCGGTGGCTGCTGCTATTGCAGCCACTGCTGCAGCCACCCCGGCTATTGAAACAGCCGCTTGGAGCTGAGCATTTTGGGCCCTCATCTCTTCTTTCTTCTTCTCTCCCTTTTCCTTTAACCACCTTCCGACTGTCTTCGAGCGAGGAGTGCTAGGGCCACCAGCTGCGGCGCCACTATAGCCACTCTGCGTTCCGGTGAATAGGGGTTGTATTGTGTTGTTTACACGTAAATACTGAAAAACATCATTTCAACCCAATTAACAATAAGCATGAATCAATATATTAAAAGTACATAGATTGTAAACAGAATTTGGCTAGTGAAAATAGCAGAAACAGGAAATTAAAAGTAGTTTAATTACAATAGACTAGATAGTATTGAACCGAAGTAAAGAGGCATCTTTAGTCCTAGGTAACGTGTCAAACATGTCATAAATTTACTTCCAATGGATGTGAGTTATTGGTGTCCATCAGGTCAGGTTGTTTGTGGAGAGGCTCGAAACAGCCAGCTTAAAAATTTTTGTGACACATTTTTCTATGGCCCATAAGCCTGTCTCAAGGTGGGATCGACGGAAACAGGAGTGAAGGCCGAATACCTTGTTCTTTAACTGCATGCTATATTGCCATGCTTTGCACAACGGTTGTGCTACATGCACATTATAGGTTTACATAATGATTTGCATACACATGATGTGGTGAGATATGATTGAATTAAAACATTAATGCTACTTAAACAGGGCCACCTCAATCCTGTTTAAATTTCCTGTCTTCAGCACGGTTTGAGTAGCAAAGCTTGAGTTAAAATTTCTTCTACCCAAAAATAAAAAAAATAAAAAAAAAGGAAACTTTCTTATTCTCTTTTTGACGTATCAATTGTATGTAAACCATTATATAACTGCTTATGTACAAATAGCATTATTTTTTATTTAAAAGGCAATGCTGCTGCTTATGCTTTTTAAGGAAGGAGTAAATCCAAACAACTTAAAAGCAGAAATTTGTTCGTTGAGAATCCTTTTTTCCCCATATGTACAATCGACCTATTGCTTCAGAACTGATCAGAATTCTGGGTTTAAATGGCCAAACAAGAGAGCTCTTAAATGGAACCAACTACAGTCTACAGCCATTCATCTTATGATGCAGTTTAATAATGAGGATAAATCTTGCATTCAACAACATTTACTTAAAACTTTCTTGGCACAAACTCCAAATTCATCTTATGATGCAGTTTAATAATAAGGATAAATCTTCCTTAGGTTTTATACTCGAAGTGTAGGCGTTAGAACCTTGAGCAGACCTTTATGAGAGGATTCGGAAATAACGTATCTCTATGGCGTACGAGTTACCATGTTGACCAGTAATAGAAGAAAGAAACAACGTAGTGAGGCTAAAACTGATTAAACTTGTCGTTTTTTTCTGGAGTGAAAACTGATTAAACTTATCCTTTTACATGTGAAAAATCCAAACTCGTTCTACGAAAGTCAAAAGGTGACTGATAAGACGGCTAAAGCATTCTTATATAGAAACAAAAGTTAATATCGAAAGTGACAAAAGCATTCTTTGTCTTGCACTTTTCTGCAAAAATACTTGTGAAAGCTGAAATTTAATAGCTGCCATTTTGTATAAATCTTAATGTTTTTTATCTTCTTCGAAGACCCATCATATACTAATCATCGTTAGAATAGTTTCTTGTGTAGATCAGAAAATAATAATAATAATAAAATTAAAAGAGTTACAAAATCACCCCACAGAATCCAAGATATTCTTGAAATCACAAATATAACAAATAAAAATTGACGGTGTTAGGGATTAAGCTTTAATCCCTTCTTACTCTGGAAAATATTAAGTCGTTGTGCCATTGATGAGATAAATTTTACACTATGATTAAACTTTGTAGTCCAACGAAAAAGAGTCAAGATAAATCAAGAAGAAAGTACCTTAACAACATCCTCAAACTCCTCAGATGGAGAAATTGGAGGGCTGTCTGTTTCTTCTGTCAAACAGCCATTCAGAGGCCCACTGCTATGAGACAGTCTTCCAGATGTTAGTGGTGATATTTCCTGCATTTTCATTTCTTGAGAATCCCTTTTGAAAAACAAGAAAGATCAATGAAATTATTTACGATTTCGTTGTATTGTACTGGACAAGATTTTACACTAGTATTAGTTTCTTTTCTTCTTCAATATTGTCTAATACCGTTGAGTCGAGCTTAGCACAAGGGACTTACCGATTGAGACATGATGCGTTCGAGGACTAGTTGAGAAGTTGTCGAAGAAGCAAAAGAGAATGTGTTTCCCGAAAGCTTGGCAGATTCCTCTTCTTCCCCGGAAATATTTTCTGGCATGGCAAGATGAGCATTGCTAGCCGATGCTGCATTTTTTTGTAGTGACATTAATGGAGTTAAAGGAGCTAATGCCTTGGACACTTGCAAGGCTGAGGCGCTCCATGATCTTGAGAGAAATTCCATGGGCCCTCTTGGGCTTTCCGGCAGCTGAACTTGGCTGCCGGTGGAGTTCTTCTCGGCCCATAGCAAGTCCATTGTGTTATGCATATAAAAAATGTAGATTGGTATGGAGTATAGACAGTAGAGATGGTTCAGTTTTTGATCGAGAGAAACTTCCTTCTTATAGAGTAGGTGGGGGAAATTTTTTGTATAGGCTTAGCTCCTTGTGAACTCTTTGGTCAAAAGATTCAAAAGGTTTTTGCTGCGGTCAATAAGATTTCTTCGATGATGTGGATAGCATATTCGGGTCTTGAAAGTGCAACTATACAAATTTCTTGGATGACACAATCGAATCTTATCCCATCCAATTCCTTCATAAGACCTCCCAAGTAAATATAATCATAGATTGACGGATTAGCCTAAGCTTATCCATACCGTTACACTCTTCGAATAGGAATTTCATTTTCTAAAATATCATAGTTTTCATAATTTGGTGAGTCATCAAGATCCTTTAGATGACCTATATTGTGTTGAAATGATATCTATCTAATTATATTTATCGCAAGATTGTCTCTCTTACTATTTCTTTTTATAAATGCATCAATAGAGGCTTAAATGTTATTCAAAATTGAATGTATTTTTCGTTTGATTTTTAACTGTCAAATTGATGACTTTAATCGATTAAAACGACGAGACCAAATGCTGGAAAAAGGAAAATGAGTTAAATTACAAGAAGGTTGTGAATCCAATGAGTGAGTTTGCCCAAAAAAAAAAAAAAAAAAAATTATGTTTCATTTCCATTTTTAAGGAAAAGGATTTGACAATAATGAATAGCTAAATCTTACTTCTTTAACCACCATCTGAGTTACTACAAACCCTAAAAGCAAAATTCAGTTTAAATCTCCATTTTTGTCCATTTTCTATTTTCCCTTTTAGGAAATATTTTTCTTGACAGTTAATCATTCACAAATCACAATCATGACCTATATATGAATAACACGTACACAAAATCTAGGGCTCAGAAGCAAATTAGAAACGCATTCTATCCGAATACAGATTATCCCGAAGTAAAATGGGACGTTGAGAGGATGGTTAAAATCATATGCTTCGAAAGAAATAAATGATGCTTAGTTTTTCTAACTAGTCAGGATATGACAAAATGAGTAGATATACTAATATACCCAACTTATAGATCCTCCGGCAATACAATAATTATGTATGTTTTATCTTTGATGTGTAGCTTTATGTGCAAACTAGTAACAAATAAATGACGATGAAACTTGAATTCACGAACTCCACACATTAAAGCTCAACCAATCAACGCCTAGACTGCAAAGAAAATTGACAAAGAATGGTCCTGTTTCTACTTGTACGTCCACGTCTCAAGAATGGGCAACATCACAACCCGACCAACAAAAGATTTTTCCAAACAAACACTGTAAATCTCTGTACCAATTACCAACTTCTGTATTCAAGGCGTGCCTGAAGACGTCATCATATACAACCCACCCAAGTCCTTTAGATTCTCCCTCTCGAAACTCAAAGTTTCTTCTCCAAATTAGCTGAAGAAAGCTTTTGGCCTTACAGAAGAATAGAAAGGAATGGTTTTCTCTTTACCTGCAAGAAGACAATAACTTGTGATCTGCTCATCTGCATAAAAAGACAGTTTTATTCCCTTTTGCTTCATAATCTTAAATCATCAACTTGTCATCTCCTTTTCAGTTGTTTTTGCATTCAAAATTCACTTTCTTCATTACTATTTCAAACCATTCAGTCTTTTTCTGCCTTTATTCTCTTCCTTTTACAGACTTGATGCCATTCCATACACAAATCTCAAAAGAGCTTCAGTAGAATATTCAAAGTCAACAAACTTATTAGAGGGTGTTTGGTAGGAATTTTTATGTGAAAATGCATTTTTGAATAGTAAATTGATGAGAAATGTGTGGTTGAAAAATAAGAAAAAGTTTTTGATTTACGTGTAATATTATTTTAATAAAGAATATGTGGTTGAAAAGAAGAGAGAGAAAAATGCATTTTGATAAAAATGGGTGTCAAACAGGGCCTTAATGACATTTACGAACATTTAGCATTTTCATCCTGAAATTTGAAAACAGCAACTTTAGTTTCCCTTGATACCATCCTTAACAATTTGTAACACGAGATTCATTTCATAAGACTAACACTCGTATCTGTAAAATAAAAGAGATGGTGACACTTAACCTTTAGAGACGCTGGCCGAAACCCTCTTGATTCATTTCTTTCTTGTTTTTGGGACCAAGAAATTCTATAAAAACGAATATATTTTGTAATGCGGCCTAATCTCTGGCATACTGGCATTCCCGTTAAATTTGCACTTCAATGTTAACTCATTGTGTGCATTATTTGGATACCCCAATTTGTCATATATATATATATAATGTCCCCGTTCTGAAATTTCAGTCCTCCATAATTTTCCTGGTATTCCCAAATTATTGCTGGTAGATTCAGTTTTACTGTTTTCATTCTGAATTTCAGAATAATTTCAATAACAGCTAGAATATAAAACCTGTTGAAGCTGGACAGAGTTCTTTTAGCAAAAAAACAAAGTGATATGCATAACACATGCAAATCAACAGGTAAACAGAAGCATGGAAGAAAACATCTTTATGCTGGGATTTATTGGAAAAATTAAGGGTCGGAAAAGACAGCAATAGGATTTACTGGCTCAGGAGAGAGACAGAATAGTCAATTGACAACACTTGAATTGGATAATCTAGCTATAGCCATAATGCCCCGTCATAAACTCCGTGCGTGGATGTATCAATGAATAAACTTGGTAAGGGTCCTACCTGGCATTCTTCAGCATTGTTTAAAGGACTGAATTATAGTATTAGATTTTCAAATTTAACGTCAAAGATCCCAAGTGCAACAGTTTGGACCACAGAACAATAGAGATGATCTAAGTATTATCATGAGCTATAAAGAACGATCAAGGAAACAAATTATTGTTTATTGTCATGTGAAACTTGGATATCTTATGATATTTGATTAATGGCTCACACGATAAATGTTTCTGCCAATAGTAGTTTATGAGATTGGTTCATACAAAATTAAATAAAGTAGCCATGAGGAATGGACTCTCACTCTAGCCTCGAGTCAAAGTTCACCTTGAGATTCTCTCACATAACTACAAAATTTGAAAGGTACTGCAAGTGAAAGAAAATTAGGAAACAAAGGAGCATTACCAAACTCTATCTGTTTGGCTGCAAACCGCTGCTACCATAATACTGCTTTGTAGTCTCTCTTGAAAATTCAGCAAAGGTCATTCCATCCTTCAGCCGTGAATGTAGTGGTGGAACTAACTGATGAATTTTTTGAGTCAATCCATTTGAATCCTTCCTGGCACCATGTGTTCCCTCAAGATATGACTCAGAATCCTGACTGCTTGAAGTTAACCGTTCCATGGGATAATCTGAAAGATGAAAAGTCTTGCTCCATGCCGGCTGTAAAAAGACAACAAAAGTTTCCCTGCTCAAATTCTCCGTCTTTTTCGGCCTGCAAACACAATGAAGCGCAGCCCGTAGCTTCCCCTTTGAAAGCACATCTGCAGATTCCCCCACCTGAACAATAAAGCTCTCCATAGATGCCTTCATCATAAGCACACGATTTTTTTCAGGATCCAATATTTGTAAATATGTATGATCAGTTGGATACTCGCATTCTAGCTCAAAATTTGCATTAGACAACATAAACATCGGGGCTGCCAGAATTGTAAATATTCCATAGTCATAATGCCACTGCTGCCACAAATCTAACTTCTTCTCATCAAATACCGTAACTTCATTACCCAAATTAACTTGGCTAATTCTCCGTCCTTTCCTTTTGGCCGCTTCTTTTATAACAAAATTATCTATACGTGAATGATAATGTATCAAACGCCCTTTAGCAGTCCCAGACAGCAATAAGCTCTGTTCCAGCTCATGGCCACCAATTACTCTATCACAAATGCGAGCAACACGGAGACCTAACTCCATCATACAAAACCCTAGCTCCTTAAACACGCTTCCTAGATTCTTAAATTCCTCATCCTCGAACTCCCCTTCCATTTTCTCATTATTAACTCCATCACAAGTTCTTTGCTCATACTTCATTTGCATTGCAAATGACGACACGATTCTATCCAGATCCTTCAACGCCACATCACTCCCCAAATTGTGTTCCTATTTACTTATAAAAACGAAATATAAAACATATAATTGAAATAAAAAAATATATATATATATATATATATATATATATATATTACTAAATCAATAAATTCTATGTTAACTAATAAAAAGGAAGTTTTTTTAAATTTTACCTTGAGGATGAGTTTTCGGTCATCGTTACTGAGAAGAGATAGTTTTCGAGCTAAAGGAAGGAGAGCTTTCCGGAGAACGGAAGCTTTGGGAACGCCGACAATCGATAGCAGGCCGGGTCCGGTCGGGCCTAAATTCTGCATAACAGTTTCAGAAACTGTTTCCAGCCGCCGGATTTCCTCGGGCGATGGTGGTAATTTGTTGGAAGACAATAGTATAAGATCGGAATATCGGAGTTCGTAGAGTTGAAGAATTTCCGGTTTTTCTTCCATTTCATTTCACAGTAAAATGTTCAGGCGGGCTTGGACATTAGAAGGCAAGTCATTTTTATTTTCTGGTGAAAAATACGGTGTCGTATAACCCAACAAACCCCCATCCAAAAATAGGAAAAACAATAAAGATCCGTTTGACTGCAAGAATGAAATTTGTTTGAAAAAAAATAAATTTTAGGGAATTGAATTGTCTATAACTTGTTTTACTTAAAATTGTCAATTGAATGTGTTTGATTGGTATAATTTTTCACCTGAAAAATGTTGAAATTTTGAGTGTTTTGATATATGTTTGGCTTTATTTTTTATGAAAATTGTCAATTAAACGGATAGAATTTATTATAATTATAGATAGGATATGTTTCCATCCCCCCCACCCCCCCCCCCCCCACCAAAAAAAAAAAACACAAAACACAAATCTTCACGAGAACAAATGACCATTATCTTGAAGTTTTTGAGTGGTAATGAAATTTTGAGAAAAACATTTTTTTGCAATCAAAAGTGTTAAGTGACAATATGTCGTTGAATCTTAAGAAACAAATACTTGATGTTCTCGTTCGTTTCAACCTTCAAGTATAAAATATGAGAGGCCAAGTGTGGGATGGTATTAATAATATGCGTAGTGCGAATGGATTACATGCATCACTTTTTTAGAGATTATCCATATGCATACTATGTCCATTGCTTTGCCCATCATTTCTTCAGGTTGATTTCTCAATTAGGGATGTCACATATATTTAATTCATTTTTTCCTCTTTTGAACAATATTGTTAATATGATTACATCAACTCTTAAGTGTATGGCTGCACACAAAAATCGCGATACAACAAATCGAACCGAAATTGTTGAGTTGAAACCATTGGTTTGGATCCACGTGGACTCGTGTTTTTTTCCTCAAACCGGACCAAACAATTTCAAAATAGTTTGGTTTAAGTTGTGAATTTCAAAAATCGAACCAAATCATTTTTAAATTTTTTTAATTAATTTTATGAACTTAAAATTTTTACAATTTTCACTTTTCAAAAAAAAAATAATTACCAATTTAGCAATACAAATTACAACCAGCCTATTAAAATAATCATGAAAAGTAAATTAAGTTCATTATTATCACCCTATGGTTTAACAAGTTTACAACACATATCTTCACCGGATATCTAAACTAAGCTAAAATTATTCCAAAATCATATGAAATAAAAAAAACATATATTTTCAACAATCTAAATCATAATTCAACAAAACTACGTCAGTAAATCACGTCCAAAGTTTTAGAAGCCCTAACATAAACTCTCATTTCCTTACATTTGATGCTTGTCCACCACTACTGAACTAATTGTCAGTCGCCTTTGCCTGTTAGTCTGTTAATTTTTACTTGAATTGCGTCTTTCTTTCTTCTTTTTTTGTAAGCCTCATATTCTCATTCAAGCCATTTCCCCCCCTTTTTTTTATTTGTTGTTTTTGAACTTATTATACACTTGTGAGTTGTGGATTGGATAGAAAAATAACTTTTGTGTGCCTAGATGATTAATGAATTTGTTCGTGGTTTAGAAAGAACCAAGGACGGAGCGTATAGATTGTGTGAAAATATTAAAGTTCCCTAACTAGTACTATTACCTTCTATTTTCATAAAATAGTTAAAAAAAAATGAAATTCGTCAACTCCCAGTAAGCCAAAATTATATCAATCTTTGTATATTTAAACATATCTCATTCGATCTTTATTTAACATCTCACTTACAAGACAAAATAAATCTTAACCAAACTATAATAGTAGAATATAATTCTACATTTACCAATCGCTATATGACAATATGAATGTCAAATAAGAAAAGGTAAATAAAAAGAAGAAAAAATGTATTTGTTCTATTAACATCTTTTAGCAATCAATTTTGAAAATAATTTATTTATGGGTTTTATGGTAAATATTAATATAATTTAAAATTTAACATTATTAGTTCTAATTTAAACTTACATGTTAACTTATGTTAAATATATTACTATAATGTCGATAGATAAACCGCGGATAAAACCGAACCAAACTGCAAATTATAGTTTGATTTGGAAAAACTTCAAACCGTATAAAATGATTTGAATTGAAAATATAGCACAAACCATATAAATCGAACCGTGTTCACCCCTACTTAAGCGTTTCCATGAGTTGAAGTTAAACAAAGAAAAGAAATTAAGCATTTGTTGAAAATTCGAGAATGTGAGTTAAGAAATTGGGCTAATCAGATTGGCAATTTGCAATAAGCCGGATGTACTTGTTGGTCTTTCATTACAACTTTGTAAAGAGTTTGATTGATATGTATTCTATAACTAGGCATTTTAGTATTTTAGCGATCATTCTCAAAATATAAGATGTCAGGGTGAAGTTGATGATATATACAAAAATGTGACAATATTTGAATTTGAATTTATCTTGTATTTAATGTGTAGAATTTATCTTGTATTTAATGTGTTTTGTCAGGTCCTTTAGAAGAAAATTTAAAATATTTTTATATACTATGAGATTTGTTTATACTACAAAAACTATTCTTCAAACATTGAGAGCAGATGGCTGTGAAAAATTTCTTCAAAGGGTGAATTTTTTGGGTCAAAAAATGATATACATGTGACTTTGATGGTTCGTATATGGCTGGCCGTTCTCGTGGCCTTGAGTACCTTGCAGTTGAGTATCTTTATCACTATGATATTTTCAATAAAGACATAGATTTTTCAGATGATTGAGTTCAACAAAATGTAATGAGACATAACTGAAACTCTTTTATTTCAGTGCAATTTTGGATACAGAAAATTCTTTGAATCATTTAATATGGATAATATTTGCAAGCTTGCAAATTAGTTTTATTCTTGAGATTTTACATAGTAAAATATTTATTGTTTGAGGGTTACGTTGCAACATTCTTAGAATGATGTGATCTCTGAATCTTAATTTCGAGTCCCACTGCTTTTTATTTTTCAACAATTTATGTTGAAAATTGGTTGCAAGTTGAAGGTCGGAGAATTACGTTATTTTGACTAAATTGATTTGTCTGGTATTTATACTACATGTTTTAGCAACAACCATAGAGCCAATATTTTCATCAATGAAATATGTGAAGATGAAAATTCGTTAAAAAAAATGAATGATAACTTTCTTGTTAATTGTACGACACTTTACATTAAACAAGATTTTACTACGAATTTAGATTCAGTATCTATTATAGAGTAATTTTATGCTGTAAAATATCGTCGAATATAACTATAATACGTATGAATTTTATTTGTGCATTCAATTTATTTAAAAAAAATTGCATCCCATAATGTTAATTCCTGGCTCCGTTTCTAAGTGATCGATTTGTTTTTTCTGCTGAACCAACCAGACAAGTTTTATTTTCATAACAATGGGTTTTACTTTATATATTTTCTTAAGAATAACAAGAAGCAATTATTACATTTATAAAAAATAGTCAAAATGATAAAAGGTTAAACATGTTATGAAAAGAGAGAAAAGAGAAGAAAACAGGGAGAAGTCAATAGACTTGTCTGTTTTATTAAGAACCAAAGCCATCTATTTATATGACAGAATTAGGGATACAACGGTAATAATTTCTAGGGCTGTAGGGGTATAATTATCATTCACCAATAAATCATAATGAACTTTTCTTTTTACAACACTCTCCCTTGAATCACACATTATAAAATATCTATCTTATTGAAATATTAATTGGCAAAAACCCAATGGGACAAAAATGCCAACAAAAAGAGTAAAAATAATTTGGAGTAATAAAATGTTGTCTCATTAAAACATTGTCAAGCAAACCCAGTGGGACAAAACTTGATCGAAGGAAAAAGAATACAGCTACTCCCCCTAATTTCAATTCTTGTTTTAATTCATCATTGCATTGTATGTCACTAGCTTTAATATTGCAACTTTGGTGAAATGCCTCATGTTGTTTTATACAATCTTCAAATAACACCGTCTTCGTAAGGGATACTATCATTCTTTGATAACTGTAGTAACGTGATAATTTTAAAAATAGCTCTTGTTGATCTCTTCAAGAGTTTCATACATATAATATATTATTTTGAGGGTAAATGTCTTGCATGTTATAGACATTAATTACACGAAGAATATGCCTCATTAAAACCTCATTAGGAAAAATCCTAATGAAGGAAAAAAGAGTGCACTATTCTTTTAAATATGCTATAAAAGTTGCATCATTAAAAACCTTGCCAGGAAACCTAATGGGATAAAACCTTGGTCAAGGAAAAAAGAGTACAACGCTTATTTACTCCCCTTCATAATAATATCACTTGAATTATGCTTCAGGCATATTCAATCATTCCAGAATGGTATCAAAACAATATAAGATAAATTATTTATAATCACATTTATTACAGGCACATCAAATTCCATGCATTATCATACTAACAAGGTAAATATCTGTGATTACATCCACCACATGATAACTAATCTATTTACACAAGTGTTCGCGAAATTCATTATGTAAAAAGTCGTACATTTCACATTACAACTTTATCTTTTCTATTTTCATTTCGCACAAGTACCTCTTGGTGTTTAAATTGTATATTCAGAAATTTCAGGTTTCTCTAGTAAATTCAATTTTACTAGGATCCCATCCATTTTATTTGGCCAGCCATTATTTCGATCGATATATTTCAACAAATTTATTTCGATTCCTCGCTATATGATGCAGCACATCATGTTTAAAACTGGTGTCGACAACCTTTTCTTTTCTTGTTCGATTCTATTTCTTTCTCCATGATGACATAACTTATTGAGATATCTCAATTTTCAATATATCAGGTACCTGAACATCTTCTGGGATTTTATAATCTATTATGTCTAAATACTCATAAGAGTGTATGCCTCCTCAATGAGACCATCTTTGTTAATTGTTCCATTTGGAGATTTTTTGTATTAGAATCGAATATCATCACGTTTCAGGCGTACCATCAAATATCATATTAACTAATTATCCTCTGTGACGTTAATTCAAGTTGGAGCATTTGAAGCTGATGTGTAA